TTAATATACTGTCCCTCTTTCTCCCCTGGATGCATTGTCATTGATGTCAGTTGATTGAGCGAGCGACTCATGGTTGTTGAAAGTAAAGAACGAGAATGAATGAACTAGCAAAGAGTCGGGTACAAGTACTAACCCTAATTGGGTTGTACCCCTTATGGGCTACCCCACTATATCCTACACAAATGTAAAAGCTATAATGTTCTGACACACCCCCATAGGCAAAGTGGGGGAGAACAAGTGGTCACAAGACCAGTCAAGCAAACCAAAGCAAGCTCAGGGTGGATCACAAAGTCACCACACAGTCCGAGCACAAGCAAAGGGCCATAAGGCCAGTTCACATGCAGAGTGATATAATGAGAACAAACAATACAGTGATCATATCATAGCAAGTGCAAGCCTGCAGGTATATATATAGATCACAGTACAAGCAGAGTCAAGCAGTAAGCAAGTGAGGCAAAGTAGGCACAAGGCCTAACAGAGTAGAGAAGTGCTGATGATCACCAGGCGGAAGTGCCTTGGTGAATATATCAGCAGTGTTGGCCCTAGTGGCCACGTACGCAAGACGAAGCTTGCCACGCTGCTGCAACTCTCGAGCAAGGAAGTATCGCAGAGCGATGTGCTTCGTTTTGTGCTCCATTCTGTGCTTCTGACACAGGCAATCATGGCCTTGTTGTCTACGTACAGAACTGGAGGCGAACGAGGCTGCTCTCCCAAGTCAGTCAGCAGGTAGGTGAGCCAGCGTAGCTCCTGTGCAGCCATGGCCCCTGCGTAGATCTCAGCCTCACAACTGGAGCTGAGAATCGAAGACGAGCGGGTAGACCGCCAAGAAACAGAGCCAGAGCCAAGGCTGAAGGTGTAACCCTAAGACGACCGCTGCGTAGCTAAGTCATCAACCCAGGAAGCGTCTGCGTCACCGGTGAGGACAACTGAACCCCATCCTCCAAGCACGAGCCCCATGCCCGACGTACGGCACAAGTAACGCAGTACCCTCTTCGCAGCATCCCAGTGCACCTTTCGGTGTATAACGGGTGCCACGTAGCGAGCCAGAAGGCTGAGAGGGTATGCGAGGTCAGGTCGTGTGCATGTCATCAGGTACATGAGGCAACCCACAAGCTCTGGGTACGGACCACTCGGCTCTACGGACTCGTCCGAAGGTGGAGCTGAGAGCGAGTGGCTGGTAGACAGAGGAGTGGGCTGTGGCGAAGATAACTGGAAACCGAAGCGCTGAAGGACCTGGGGCACCATGTGTGACTGAGTCAAGGTGATGGTGCGCCGTGCTCTGTCCCGGGTGATCTGCAAGCCAAGATAGCTACGCAGTTCACCCAGGTCAGTGCAAGTGTGTCTCTTCTGCAGCTCCGACTTCACAAGGGTCAGTGCCTCAGTGTCAGCAGTGGCAAAGACGAGGTCGTCGACGTACACGAGGACGTAAAACGGCGGCAGCGAGGTGTCGGTGCGTAGAAACAGCGACGGGTCAGCAGTAGCAGGAGCAAACCCAAGAGTCGCAAGCATAGTCCTTAGTGTGTTGTGCCACTCGCGAGGCGCCTGGCAAAGACCGTAGACTGGCCGCCGGAGGCTCCACTGAGTACCTGCAGGAAACGACTCAGTGAATCCAGGTGGGCGGCGCAGCCAGATCTCCTCGTGCAGGCTGCCCTGCAGGAAAGTTGTGCTGAAGTCCAGAGAGTGCAACTCGTAGTCACGCTAAGCAGCGACGTGTAGCAACACCCGAAGAATAGTCATCTTCGGGGTGGGGGAGAAGGTCTGGAAGTAGTCAACCCCCTGTCACTGACTGAAGCCTCGAGCAGCGTAACGCGCCTTAAAGGCAGGCGGAGAACCCGGCGGCCGCTTCACCCTGAAAATCCACATGCCATCGACTATGTTCGCCCGAGACGGGGGAACTGCGTCGTCGTAAGTGCCTGTGGACTTCCAGGATGCCATCTCGGCATCCATGGCTGTCTGCCACTGAGAGGAGTAAGGACCCGTAATCGCCTCTACGTAAGAGCGCGGGGTCAGGATGTCTGGTGCATCCGGGTCTCCCTCAAGGGCAAGCAGCATGGAAGCGAAACGAGGTACAGCAGCTGCAAGACACTCAAAGTCCTCCTGCTTGTCCTCAAGGACGTCAGTGCCAAGAGCACAATCACCCCCGATGGAAGGAGGACTGGCAGACTCAGCAACAAGAGCAGTGGCATTGTCTAGATGACAGGCAGCAGCAAAATCAAGTAGCTCAGCAACGAGAGCAAACGCAGCAGCAGACTCAAAGGAAGGGTCAATGACAGCAGTGGTGAGGAGACGAGCAACAGTGGGACTGGCAGCACGAGCGTGGTGAGACGCAGGGTCAGGGACCTCAGGAAGAGAGGACTCAGGAGGAGGCAGCAGAGGAACACGCAGTGGAACAGAGGAAGGAGGAAGTGCCATAGCGTGCGTGCCGAGGACATGAGGAGGACGCGAACGAGGAACGCGACGACAAGTGCGAACAGGTGAGACAGGACGAGACGCAGGCTCACGTCGCTCTGTCAGACCGCCGGACTGCTCAGTGTAAGGAGAAGGAGCAGGCAGTGGAGAGGCCGGCTCTAACGGCTGGCTGAGACTGGTCAGGCGGTGGACACAGGAGGGGAGGAGTAAGGCCAGTAGAAGACGGGGTACCAAGAACCTGCTGAAGCAGGGGAATGAAGTACGGTCACGGCCGCACAGCGCCACCAGGGTCAACAGCGCTAGCTCCTCCAGCTCCAGCACCTCCAACACCAGGGCCTCCAAATCCAACGCCTCCTTCTCCACTGCCTCAAACTCCAGCTCCTCCAGCTCCAGTGCCACCAGCGCGAGAGCCACCAGCTCCAGTAGCTCCAGACTCCGTAGTGTCTCCAGCTCCAGCACCCTCAACACCACCAGTCCCGGCAGCTCCAGTACCCCGGGTACGAGCACCTCCAAGACTAGTGACCGCAGTACCTCCAGTACCTCCAGCTCCAGCAGCCCCAGCACTGCCATCTCCGGTAGCTCCACTCCGAAGTCGTGCGCGCCGAACAAACCACTCACGCAGCTGCTGCGGAGACAGTCTCGGCGAAGCACCAGCATGACCTCCAGACGAAGCAGCACCCCGAGGCTCAGCACCCCCATATTCCGCACCCTCCGACTCAGCACCCCCAGGCTCACCACCAGCAGGCTACACACCCACAGGCTCCTCACCCCCAGGCTCAGCACCCCCAGGCTCAGCACCCCCAGGCTCAGCACCCCCAGACCCAGCACCCTCAGACTCCGCACCCTCAGACGCAGCACCCCTAGACTCAGCACCCCCAGACGCAACACCTGGAGCAGCACCTGAGCCGATAGCTACCTGAACAGGTGCAAGACCAGGGAGAGGGTCTACATGAGACACACCTGAGGGAGCAGGACCCTGGGGCGGGAGGGGGTCTACCGGAGGGGGACCGGGAGCAAGGAAGAGCGGCGGGGGCGGGGGAGGGGCAGAGCGGTAGCGGAAGAGACGGTAAAAGGGTACCGACTCGTCAAACGTGACGTCCTGAGAAGGGAAGACACGGCGCGAGGTGGGGTGGTAAAACTGCCAGCCAGTCGCGTCAGGGACAAAGCCAAGGAAGACGCAAGGGATAGCATGGGGGGAGAGCTTGTCTGCAGACGTATCGCGAACAAAGGCACGAGATCCCCAGACCCGGAACACCGACGCATCGCCAACCTCCCCCGTCCAATGTAGTGTGGGCGAGGTCTCCGGCAAGGAGACACGGGGACAGAGGTTAAGCTGATGCGCAGCGTACCGGACCGCAAATGGCCACAGAAAATGGGGAGCAGCCGCATGGATCATGGAGGTACGAGCGACCTCCATGACTAAGCCAATGCGGCGCTCAGCAATCCCATTTTGCTGAGGGGAGTCCGGAAGCGTGAACGACTGGAGAATGCCCTCCCCACGACAAAAGTCCAGCAAGAGGCTGGAGGAGAACTCACCACCTCTGTCAGAGTGCAGACGTAGGACAGGAAGGTCCTGGCCGAACTGCTCGCGGAGCTGGAGACGGACTGTGCGGATCCAAGGGATCAAGACATCAATGACCTGACCCTTGCTGCGCAAGGAGAAGACCGTGGTGTACCGCGTGTAGTCGTCAACTACCAGCATAAAGTAGCGCTCGCGGCTCTGTCAACTGACGCGGGCTGGGCCCCACACGTCCATGTGGAGAGTCTGTAGGGGAGCGGTCGTCGGGGGAAACAAGGAGGAGTGAGGAGCGGCGCGCTGCCGCCCCTCGACGTAAGGAAGGCAGGGCGGGGCAGGTGAGGGCGGCAGGGGAGGCAGGGACCTGGGAAGACCAGACACAAGAAGACGAGAGTGCATGCCACGAAGTCGTGGCAGGGAGGGGTGACCCAGGCAGTGGTGCCACAGAAGAGTCTGGTGCGACAGGAGGCGACACGAGCAGGAGGCGGCTACCTCACCTTACGCGGAAACCAGAGCAGACGCAGCTACCTGGGGAGGCTCGGTAGCGAGTGTGTACAGACTCGACCCTGGCCGACGAGTGAACGTGGCCAGGTGACGCCCCGTCCGTGTGCACGTGCAGATCGTCACACGCTGACCCCCAGGAGTGGTGGTAGTGACCATCGTATCCTGGAGGGCAGCGGTACTCACCAAGTTCGCAGAGAACGAGGGGAGGTGAAGACCTGACAGTGAGCCGGACGGAACCGCCGGACACGGGAGGACAGTGGAGGAACGGGCCACGACCGGGCCCCCAGAGGGGTCAGCCAGTCGGACTGGGACAGGTGTAGAGAGAGGAGTGAGAGTGGTGCTGTCACGAAAGAAACAGGCAGAGGCGCCAGAGTCCAGCGTGAAAGTGTGCAAGGCCTGAGCAGGCGCAGTACCAGGGAGAGTACCAGACTCACTAGCACCTAGAGCAGCAGCGGCTATACCTGGGTCAGGCGGCACACACCGGTAACAGTCACCCTCAGCATTAACAGACAAAGCATACATAGCAGAAAGAATAGCATCAAAGTCTAGGTCAAAGATTGCAATCCTAGACCTAAGCAGATCTGCCCAGCGAGGGAGCTCAACGTCGTCACCAAACTCAGCACGCCAAGCGTCGTCAAGGCGGGAGAAGCAGCGGTGCTGAGTGTGAAGCCGCCCGCAAGTCTGACCAGCACGGTCACCCGTGCGAATGACATACGGGCAACTACCCCGAGGCGCCCCACGCAGAAACCACTCACGAAGCTGCTGGGGCGACTGGGTCTCGCTCCGACGCTACTGCTGCTGACGCTGGCTACCTCCAGAACCAACACGTCAAGCTCCAGTCCCACCGCCACCAGTCCCACTGCCGCCACCGCCGCCACTCCCACCGCTGCCTCCACCGCCGCCACCAGAGCCCCCACTCCCTCTACCAGTCCCACCGCCGCCACTACCTCCACTGCTGCCCCCACCACTACTCCCACTGCCACCTCCACCACCGCCGCCGCCACCTCCACCACCTTTGCCACCCTTGCCCTTGCCGCTGCGGCGCTTCGCACTAGCAGAAGCAGCCCCGACGTCCTCAGCAACAGAGACGTCTGCAGCAGCAGCAGAGGCGTAGGAGGGGGTAAGGGGGGAGGGGGAGCACCCCTCAAAGAAGGGGGGGCGCGGAGTGCCACGAGCAGCACCTACAGCAACTGCACTAGTCTCAGCTGCAAGGAGATGCTGCTCGAGGAGGTCAACAGTGAGGGAGGTGGGGTCAAGAGAGAGGAAGTGGTCCCTAACAGAGCGAAGAGAGTCAGGGAGGCGAGTGACTATGAAGTAGAGGGTGATGAACATCGGGGGCTGGTTCCTGTCAAGGAACTCAGCAGAGACAGCAGCGCGGTAGCGAGCGTCGCTAGCGCGAAGGTGGGAAACCAGGTCCTCGACTGTGGTAAAGGCGGACAGCTCGGGGAACAGGTAGGGCAGAAGCAGGCGGCCTAGAGCACCAGTGGCCGGGGAGGAGTAGCGAGCGACTACAGCGTCGTACAGTGCCTGTGCGGTCCTGTGCTGTCCGAAGTGAGCGCATTCGGCTAACGGAAGGTGGTTGCGAATGGCTAAGCGGGCAGCAGCGTCGCGAGAAAGCCACTGTGAGCGAGTTGCACTGTCAGCTGTGGTGGGAGGGGTAGTAGCAGCACCGGACATGTGGTCAAACAGGGAAACACCGTCCTTAATATCGCTCAGTAGGTACAGCTGCAGATCTTCGAGCCACGTGTCAAACTGAACTGGTCTACCCTCATGATCAAATGCGAGAACTCGAAGCGAGGCCATAGTGGCACAGTATGCAGGAGCAGCAGTAGCAGCAGTAGCAGCAGTAGCAGCAGTAGTAGTAGCCGCAGTTGCAGAAGGTGCCTAGGGGCCGAGGGGCCAAAACACGAGGAGTGAGGGCCGAGGGGCCAAGGCTAGGGGCCGAGCGGCCTGGGGGCCGAGGTGCCTAGGGGTCGAGGGGCCTGGGTCGCGGGTCACGGGGCGCGGGTCGTGACTGGCCTAGGGGCGCGACGGGCAGGAATGGGGCCGTGGGGCGCGACGGGCCTAGGTGCGCGACGGGGCCGAGGGGCGCGACGGGCTAGGAAACGGGGCCGTAGGGGGGGCGCGACGGGCCTAGGAAACGGGGCCGAGGGGCGCGACGGGCCTAGGGGCGCGACGAGTCCGAGGGGCGCAACGGGGCCTAGGAACGGAGCCGTGGGGGCGCTACGGGCCTAAGGGGCACGACGGGGCCGAGGGGCGCGACGGGCTAGGAAACGGGGCCGTGGGGGCGCGACGGGCCTAGGAAACGGGGCCGAGGGGCGCGACGGGCCTAGGGGCGCGACGGAGCCGAGGGGCGCGACGGGGCCGAGGGGCGCGACGTGCCTAGGAACGGGGCTGTGGGGGGCGCGACGGGCCTAAGGGGCGCGACGGGCCTAGGGGCGCGACAGGGCCAAGGGCGCGACGGGCTAGGAAACGGGGCCGTGGGGGCGTGACGGGCCTAGGAAACGAGGCCGAGGGGCGCGACGGGCCTAGGGGCGCGACGGGGCCGAGGGGCGCGACGGGGCTGAGGGGCGCGATGGGCCTAGGAACGGGGCCGTGGGGGGGCGCGACGGGCCTAAGGGGCGCGACGGGCCTAGGGGCGCGACGGGGCCAAGGGGCGCGACGGGCTAGGAAATGGGGCCTAGGGGCGCGACGGGGCCGAGGGGCGCGACGGGGCCGAGGGGCGCGACGGGGCCGAGGGGCACGACGGGCTAGGAGCGGGGCCGTGGGGGGGGCGCGACGGGCCTAGGGGCGCGACGGGCCAACGGGCCGGTTTCTAGGGGCTACTCGTAGGGCAGCAGGTGGTGGGCCCAAGGAAAGAAAAGCGGTCCTAGCGAGGGACCTGCTCTGAAACCATGTTGAAAGTAAAGAACGAGAATGAATGAACTAGCAAAGAGTCGGGTACAAGTACTAACCCTAATTGGGTTGTACCCCTTATGGGCTACCCCACTATGGCCTACACAAATGTAAAAGCTATAATGTTCTGACAATGGTAACCGGATTTGTTGCCATGTATGAATATGAATTGCGCAGGTGCTCCCAAGACACTTGTGCGGGTGCCCACTCCGATTTGTAAGAGCGGATGCCAAGCTGCTTGACGGGGGAGAGATTTCGGAGAAGATCGGTGTACGCGAGAAGGGACTCGTGGTCGTACCGATTCTTCTCCTGGATGGTTCCCTCCGACGGAAAAGGTAAGCTCCCATCGTAGTCCATCCAGATCTGCGCGGTTGTTGCGAGGAGCTCAAACTCGAAGCTCCACGTGTAGAAATCCTTGCCGTCAAATTGAGTTGAAGTTTTCAGCTTTGAGGTCAAAACAAACTTCGTTTGCATGGTTGCGATTGCCTCTGTTTGTGCGCATTGTTGACTGTCGTGCGCAGAAGCTGAAGCTTGACAGTTGTGAACGGTAAATGATCTCTTGGAATTGACGCGGCGGTCATCTCCCGGGAGAGGCAGTCCAGCGACTCCTCTTGCGTAGCTTGAGCCATCAATGCTCATAGCTATGGATGCAGACTTGTAACAGGTATTTAATGAGTACATTTATAAAGAGTCTGTTCTAGGAAGAACAAGAACTTGGCAGATCTTTTAATCCACTCTCACTCTCATACCATGTTGATGTAACGGGAATCGTAGTAGACAGGATAAGAGTTGCTCAGATATAGGAAGACAATGAAGTCTTGCAATGACCTTGTTAATAATAGTTGAAAGAGAACAAGATGATTACAAGATAGAAGTACAAGGATATAAATATCAATCTAGCTAGCCATGTACTCTGAAGGGTACATTCCCTTATTAATTGTATTGCATTGCTACAGTAACTGCGACTTTTACTATACTCGACAGTTACCATGTTGTAGCGTGTAACCTCCGAGTACGTTTACTGGACGGTCAACAGTCACGACCGTTGAATAACTTCGACTGTTGACCTTCGCATGACTCTCGAGCTGACGCATGCTCTATATGAGCTATTGCGGTACTGGTACAGTGGCACTGCTTCGTTATGAAGTGGCGCGCTAGGAGAGAACCTTCGGGAACGTTATAATAACCTTTCAGTTATTCCAACATTAACAACAAATGAGACCATGTCTTATCAATGCCAAATTGTGTACAGAACTGTGGTGGTCACTAGGTGGAAGGGCCTTGGTAAAGATGTCTGCAGTATTGGCTGTTGAGGCCACAAAGGCCAAGCCTGCCTAGCCGCGTCGCTTTAGCTCTCGCAGCAGGAAGTACCGCAAGTCGATGTGCTTCACTCTGCCCTCCAGTCGAGGCTCTCGGCATAGGAGGATCATGACATTGTCGTCGACGAACAAGGTCGGAGAAAAGCTAGGCCGCTCAGCTAGGTGAATGAGGAAGTAGGTCAACCAGGGAAGCTCCTGAACAGCCATGGCAGGGGCGTGAATCTCGGCCTTAGCACTGGACGAAGCCACAGACAACAACCAAGTAGACCTCCACGATACAGGTCTTAAGTCCAAGCTGAGACAGTACCCCTGAGTAGACCTGTAGGTTTCCAAGTTTTTGGTGTAGGACGACTTGTAGTGCCCGGTCAGTATTACTGGCTCTGTCCCTCCAAGCACAAGCCCCATGGCTGATGTAGTCGCCAAGCACATCGTTACCCTCCCAGCAGCCGCCCAGTCACAACAAAGCGAACCGGGGCGCTGAGAGGATAAGCGAGGTCCTGACGAATATATGTGATCAGGTAAACGAGGCAACCCACAAGCTCTGTGTAGGGACCATTAACTCAAAAGGCTTGTCTAGTGCGTTATGTAAAAGCCGGCACCAACCGTCTCTTGGTATTGGGCTACTCCTTACTATATGAACTGCTCCTAAAGGAGTCACACGACGAAATTACCACATAACACTTTGGGTAGAAAACACCCTGCAATAGCTACAGAGGTATTACTACTGCCCATATGTGCTGATTGATGTACAGTGGCACGTGGCCTCGTATCCCACTTTCTAACTCATGAAATAATCACGAGGGAAGCTGGCAAGACGGTTATAGCCGATACCACCCCTAGTACGTGCCTGGCAGCAGGTGACAATGGGCATCGTCACGGAGTTACTGGCTAAGGCAAGTAGTAACGACGCGATCCTCGTGGTTGTTGACCGGTTGACAAAGATGACACGTTTTCACACCCTGCAACTAATCCATCCCTGCTAAAGAAATAGTCCGACTCTTCATCGCCAACGTTATTCGCCTATATGGGATACCAGCGGCAAACATGAGCGACAGCAATACGGAATCTACAAGTAACTTCTGGAGGAACTTGTGGCAACAATTCGGTACTCGACTATAGTTCAGCTCCTTGTACCACCTTGAAACTGGTAGAAAAGCCAAGCGAACCAGCCAGACAATGGAACAATTGATTCGTGCCATGCGTGATGACCCAGCAACCTGAGAACAGCAGAAGCCACTGATTAAATTAGCATACAACAACTCACTATCTGCCACCACCCAATTGTTGCCGTTTTATCTCAACTACGGGCATTACCCCATAATATCAATAACGCCAAATATCGACAAGCCCGTCCTTCGCGCACAACAGTTTGCCAAAATATTATAGTACAAGCATGCAGGACCCGAGCAGCAGGCACAACTTAGAATCCAACCTTACCATTAAGAGACACGCCGATCGCCACCCCCGCCCCATCACCTACCAACCCAGAGACCTAGTACTACTCGATACACAATACCTCCGCCTACTAGTGACCGTGAAATTATGCCCAAGATATTGCGGGCTATTCCAACTTAGCCACATGATCACTCACGTCACTACATACCTCCTCCTCCTTGCAAATTGGTACTCAGCCCCTTGTTCCACATCTGCCTCCTCCGCCCATACATCATATGCACGAGCCAGCTCTCACGCAACCGACCATCCAGCATGACGCAGCCATACGGAACCCATAATTGAATCCAACAACATCCTTAGCTACCAAGTTCGTGATCCATGTGGAGCCTGATGCTTCGAGTTCTTGCTACAATGAAAAGACCGAACACGCCAAAATTCAGCCGTGTACCCCTGGACAGAATTGAAAACCACCTAGTCCTCACAAACTACCTTCGCAGCAGAAAATTTTGAGATGTCAACACACTTTCGTAAGGGCCTCGTTTGGGGAAGGAAGTAGTGTAAGGAAAACAGCTTTTTCCTTACTTCGCGTCATCAACCATATCGCGCACAATGATGTTCCCACCATTACAATCAAACTATGCTTCGTAACCACCTCGCACCATTCCCCTCGACTACTATCACTGCCACCACCATACTGTCAGAATGTTATGTTTTGTCTAGCCTGCAGTGGGGTACTCAATAGTGAGTACAGCCCAATTTAGGGTTTGCTATATGTACTCAACTGCTTGCTAGTGAAACCCCTCTCTTTTGCTCTTTTTCATTCCTCAATTCTCTCACATGGTATAGAGCTGGTTCGATCCTTCCCAAGGGCCCACCATTAAAAGTTTTTTTTTTTACCTACCTGCCCAAAGCGCGCTTTGCGCTCTGCCCTACGTGGCCCCTTTGCGGCCCCCTAGTGGCCTTCTCTGCCTTACGCGGCCCCCTTGCGGCCTGTTGGCGGTCCCCTTAGAGGCCCCGTCGCGACCCCGTCGCGGCCCCGTCACTGCCCCGTCGCGGCCCTGCCCCGTCGCCTGTCGCGGTCCTGTCACGGCCTCGTCACGACCTCGTCGTGGCCCCGCCCCGGCCCTGCCCCGTAGCCTGTCACGGCCCCGCCTCGGCCCCCCTTTAGTGACCCGTCGCGGCCCTTCGCGGCCC